GAATCCCGCTCTAGCAGGTTGCGCTGTTATCCTCTTTTCCATGGCTAATGAGTCAGGATCGTATCAACATACCCCCAATCCGTGCTTCTTTTCTTTTTTTGTCATTTTCTTTCCTACATTTCGTTTCCTAAAAGCGATTCTCTCGGCTTTAGCGACAGGCCAGTGCTGTAAGTATGGCAAAAGCTGTGTACCGTTGCAACTAAACTTATTTACATAACAGCCGTTGCTGATTACGAGCATTCTCTCAGTAATGGCCTATTCCGCATGATTAAGGCGTATCGTGCGAAGGTGAATGAGTAATAAAGCTACATAGAATCGAGCAGTCCTGTCGTACCCTTTAGTCGATTCCTGTGGTTATAACGCAGCATTATTCTTTTTCTAAGGATAGTCCTTCTTTCATTCGATTTTTCATTCGTTGGTGATTATTTTAATGTCATTTCAAAGTTCTGAGCACTTATGTAGCAATCAGAGAGAAGGAAGTGATTGGGATGTTTTAAGGTTGATGTTTACGATTTTGTGCCAAATGCAGTGGAGCGACCTCCGCTATTCGTGCACAATCACTTCCGCAGAAGCGAAAGTCATCTCTGTGGTCTCCCCTGCTCTAATTTCGATTTTGCTATCTCAAAATTCAAGAAATGACATTTAAAAAAGACAAACAGCAAAAACAATTAGGCCAGTGAAGGAGTATGACATATGTATTAAAAGGAATGTGCATGAGGGAAAACTGCCGTTTCAGCTCTACAGCTTTTGAAATAACTGCGATCTTTCCTTTTGAAATGACCCCCTACTGCTGAATTGCTTGGCGATCATTCTTCGAGAGATTACGCTATCAATTTCTCCGATGCAACATTTTATGGTAGGCTTAATAGGCTTGAAAATTCCACTGCACTCAGCTTGGCAATACTCAATTCATTTCCTACGCTCCGCAGACAATTTCAAATTATTTCCCGACTCCTTGCTCTTTCTCATTAGTGTCCCGTTCTTTGAATGTTGGTGATTATCGTGAGTGCGGCAGAGTGCGGCATCCGCTTTGTAGTTCTTACGTCATGTTCACGATATTATTAGCAAGCAGGAATATGAGATTATCGATAAAAGTTGTTTTAGATTACGTCATACTCAAGGTGTGCTTCCTTCGTGCCTTCGGCCGGGCGTAGTTGCACTCTACATCTGTAGTTTCATCTTTGGCCATTCGCGAAGGCTATGCCATTTCTCAATCTACCAACATTGACTGCGGTGAGCCAATTTTTAGTCGATATCATAGTTAGTAGCTGTGAGCAGGTATTAGCGACAGCCTGCTGGTGCGTCCCATGCTATTTGATGTTGGCAGGTTTCAACAAATGACGTGGGGAACTCTTAGACATATAGTTTCTCTTCCTAATCTCTAGAAGATAATAGTTTGCCTGCTGTTGACTAGTTCTCGTTAACTGTACATTGGAGTTGACTTTTGCATGGATTTAGAGGCAGTCATCTGTAAACAGTACGGTTTCAATGGCTTGGGAAATAAAACTGCATGGGTTTTTTCTCAGCTGACAGCTTTTTAGGAATTTATTGTCCACCTCTAAATAGGTCCGGCACTGTTTAATTAACATGATGGGTTTTAGGACCAGCATGAGTATTATGTTAAATCTGAGCGTGGTTCTGTGGAAATACTTACATTCCAGAAAAGCCTGTGGCAAAACTCCAGAAGTCATGAGAAGGAATTTAGGAGATGAGATTTTTCGTGCTATTCAAATGTTAAGCTCTAAAAGATCAAAAAGGTACTCTCATGACGAAACCAGGCGCCGAATAAGGCTGAGACGGTGCCTGGTTAATAATAGTGGCACCTTAATTGAGCGCTAGATTGACCACCCAACTTTTCTGAATAATGTGTATCCATTTTGGCAGTAGAGCTGCTTAATCAATCCGCATATAATTAAATCTTCTAAAAGGCGACATGACAAAGTATCGGCATGGAGTATGGCTGTAAATATTATGACAAACCGCTGTTTTCGTATAGCTGTTAGTAAGAGGTATAATGAGTTTACTGAAGAAACTCCTGGTATCATGCCGAAAATGCATGAGACATTCTAATTTCAGTGTTCAATGTATCTAAAAGCTAGCTTTTACGAGTCTGCTTATCTTAGCTAATTTAAGAAGCCACCCGTTGGAAGGAGCGAGTATGGCCGCGTCAAAGTGGCGTTGTTACCTGGGAAAGGTCTCATGGATTGGGTACGGTTGGCTTCAGGGAAGGTACTCAATGCGCATTGTTGTTTTCTTCTTTTTGGTTGCTCTCTTTTGTTTTGCTTGCCATTCTACTTTTTTATGGTTTTTTATTAGATACTTGCCAAGAAGAGGATGTCCGTAGATCATGAAGAACTTGTAAAACATAATAAAAGAGATGATTGTTGGATACATATTTTTGGACAGGTTAGCATTTTTGCTTTTCATTTTTAACTATGTACATTGTATAGATTTTTTTGGAAGATCTTTGTGGCATGGATTTCTTTTATGGACTTAGGTCTATGACGTTACGTCGTATTTGGAATTTCATCCCGGAGGTGTGCCAGAGCTTATGCGTGCAGCTGGTACTGATGCCACTGATCTCTTCAACCAGTACCATGCATGGGTTAACTACGAGAATATGCTGAAGTCGTGTCTCGTTGGGCGATTTACGGGAGATCTCTCTAAATGTAGGTGGACTTGATGTGGCTTTGCTTTTATACCACCTACTTACCCGATTTACAGTGCCGCAGCCAGGTCCGCCTACGACAGAGCAGCCGGAGTCTATTTCAGCGCAGTTGAATACTTTGATTATGAAAGGGAAACAAAAAGAAGAAGAGGAAACTTATGGAATTAGGTAGGCCGTAGTGATAATCCTAGTGTAGTTCAGTTTAAAGCATGTGGTTTTCCATTTACGCCAAAGTTTCCTCTTCAAGTTCTTTTGAGTACAATTTCAGTGTTTCCAAGGATGGAAAGACGTTGAAAATAAGTTCGGACAAGTGGAATTCGTCTAATCTTCGATTAGCGAATGTTATTGTTGATGTCTCATGTAGCAAAAGCCGTTTACGAGTCGTCGTTAAGCCTGCCGGTCAATCAGCCATGGAAGTGAAGTGGAGTAAGTTATATTTGCTAGTGAGCATGTAATGATTTGGTTCACGGGGGTAACACGGGTTCGAAGAGGGTGTTTGGATCGTGTATGAATCAATACTTGGTCGTCGCTGCAAAGAAATTTCGAAAGAGTGTAGTCGTGAGCCCGACAGGGCAGTAATGCTCGATACGGGGAATTATCCACGTAAATTGGTTTAGGATCTACGCATGTGTAAGGTAGCGCTGAAGACCCCGCCTGGGTTATCGTGGAATGTACATCGTTACTTGCTTAAGAACCTCGTTGCTACTTGTAGATGACGTTGTTTTCAACGATGCTGAATCTTGCCCATATGAAATACTCGTGAGAGATGGAAGTATTCTGGTTACTTTCGAATCGATAAATGTTACGACGGCACTTTCTCCGGCTATCCAATCCATCAGGCAGTCACCGCGTGAGAATTTCGTTTTTTCTTTCGTCTTAACTATAGCCAATTTCCCTAATGAGCCATGCGTTGAGGCCCATACATTTACGTGGTGATGTAATAATTATTACTAGTTGAAATTGCTATTTTATCCTACCGGTGATTTTCGTTTATCATTTATAGTCCCCAAATTCGTTGATTTCTTTCATTCCTTTTTTACACTTTTTGCCTACCTGTGTAAAGTGGGCCTGACTATTATCATGCATAGATACATTTTTATGTGAATCTAGTCGTTATTAATTATGATAATAGATCTTTCACCCAACTTAGGTGCTGCTGACTTTATAGTATGCAGTCATTCAAAAAAATATTTTCTGAAAAATATGTTTTATAAAAATTAAAAAATCATTTAATACGGGGTTATCTTTTTTGTTCGGCTTTTTCTGATCTTATTGTTGCAGTTCTTGGCTATCATGAATGTGTTATCGAGGAGAAACGATCCATATCCCATGATACGCTGTTGTTCGTCCTGCGTTTACCTGAAGGATTATTCTTTCCCATAGCCACAGGTCAACATGTATCCTTCAGAGTTAGGAAAGGATGTAGGTTTTCTCGAATATCATTCGTTGTTTGCTATCTGAGGTTTCCAACTGGATCTTAACCGAACCTGTTTAAGCGTCGAAGATTTACCGACCTTATACGCCGGTTAGTTGTGGTTCGTTGCCAGAAGATTCCGAGAAGATTGAGAGTGCTGCTTGTAGTGGGGCTGCGGCAATAACCTTTATGATAAAAATTTATGAGCAGGGGATCTGCACGCCTTCCTTGAGAGCTCTGAACGTTGGTAAGTGTTACTGGTGTAAGTTTGATTGTTTTTGTCATCTATCGCTGTATCTTTGCAGGGGATTCTATAGAGATCAGTGAACCGATAGGAAACGTTGATTTATCGTCATGGGTTAGCCCACAGTATGACGTACTGATGTTAGCGGCAGGCACAGGCTTGACGCCAATGGTTAATGTACTCAGAGCACGGTTAAAGAAAATGGCTGATGAAGGTATCAGTAGGTAAGTTGACGGTGTAGCAAACCAATACTGTTATTTTTTTATTATTATTTTAGAAATAACACTCAATTATTACTGTTTAATAAAACAGAAAATGATATAGTTAGCGATGATTGGTTACCAATGCGATGGTCCGACGAAAGGATTACGGTGAGTTTGACAAGATTATGTAAAGAAATAAAAAATAGGAGATCACGTTGTTCAGGTAGAGCACATCCTTAGTAGTCCATCTGAAGAATGGAATGGACGAAGAGGGCGAATAGACTCTAGCATGTTACCAATAGCTCAGGAATCATTACGGGTATTAATATGTGGTCCGGATGGATTTAATGCCACAGCACAAAAGTAAGTCTTATTGGTAAACAAGTAAATAAGAGGTTGTTTTTGTAACGAGATCTTGTTAAGGTTGTTACTAGATGCCGGCTACAAAAGCGAAAATATTCACATTTTTCAAGGATAGTCAAATGAATGATCACTGCCAAATTTTATTCTTGAAATATGCAAATTATGTGATGCTCAGCATATGTGGGCAGGATCTCTGTGATATGAATTAATCGGTTATAAAGCATAACTTGACGTGTGATACTGCCTTGGCCGTATTGGCGTATGTGGAAGTGAATGTGCATTGGTTAGGGTGTAGCGAACCCATTTATTCTTTTTCTCTCTAACCAAGCATTCTCAATACGGTACCAGTAATCTGAAAAGACATGACATTGATAAATGATTAGAATGTTCTAGTAATAAGTGAACATTTCATGAAGTCAGGGTCAAACAATTCACTAAATACAATATTTATATCACATTTGTAAACTAAACACCATTGTAAGGAATTCCTCGTATCGTATCGTTATGACGCCATCACGATCCATATCCTTGTCCCTGAATAAATTGCTGTCCCTGAATGAATTGATAGTGTTTGAAGGAAAAATTGCAGCCTTTGTTCGTCTTCAAAGAATGAAAAGTTTGCTATGCTTGGAAAAGTACACGAGCCAAGGTCTATGATGAGATAATAAGTGGTTTCGGTTCTCTCACGCCTTTCCCTACTGATGAAGCGACCACAGGTTGCCTATGCTATTTCTAAAGTTGTAATGCTCCTCAACTTTGCCATAAAAACTTCTGTAA